AACCTTGTTAGTCAGGACACTTGGCTTTGCATGCACAATAGAACGTTGTTAGTCCGGACACTTTGGTTTGTGTATACAGTGGAACCTTTTTAGTATGGACACTTTGGTTTTTGTGTACAGAAGAACCTTGTCAGTCCAGACACTTGGCTTTGCGTGTACAGTAGAACCTTGTCAGTCCGGACACTTTGGTTTGTGTGTACAGTAGAACCTTGTCAGTCCGGAAACTTTGGTTTGTGTGTACAGTAGAACCTTTTCAGTCCGGACACTTTGATTTGTGTATACAGTAGAACCTTGTTAGTCAGGACACTTGGCTTTGCATGCACAATAGAACGTTGTTAGTCCGGACACTTTGGTTTGTGTATACAGTGGAACCTTTTTAGTATGGACACTTTGGTTTTTGTGTACAGAAGAACCTTGTCAGTCCAGACACTTGGCTTTGCGTGTACAGTAGAACCTTGTCAGTCCGGACAATTTGGTTTGTGTGTACAGTAGAACCTTGTCAGTCCGGAAACTTTGGTTTGTGTGTACAGTAGAACCTTTTCAGTCCGGACACTTTGATTTGTGTATACAGTAGAACCTTGTTAGTCAGGACACTTGGCTTTGCATGCACAATAGAACGTTGTTAGTCCGGACACTTTGGTTTGTGTATACAGTGGAACCTTTTTAGTATGGACACTTTGGTTTTTGTGTACAGAAGAACCTTGTCAGTCCAGACACTTGGCTTTGCGTGTACAGTAGAACCTTGTCAGTCCGGACAATTTGGTTTGTGTGTACAGTAGAACCTTGTCAGTCCGGAAACTTTGGTTTGTGTGTACAGTAGAACCTTTTCAGTCCGGACACTTTGATTTGTGTATATAGTAGAACCTTGTTAGTCAGGACACTTGGCTTTGCGTGTAGAATAGAACGTTGTTAGTCCGGACACTTTGGTTTGTGTGTACAGTAGAACCTTGTTAGTCTGGACACTTTGGTTTTTGTGCAAAGTAGAGCCTTGTTAGTCTGGACACTTTGGTTTGTGTGTACAGTAGAACCTCGCTAGTCTGGACACTTTGGTTTGTGTGTATAGTAGAACCTTGTTTGTCTTGACACTTTGGTTTGAATCTTGTTAGTCTGGACACTTTGGTTTATGTGTATAGTAGAACCTTGCTAGTCTGGACACTTTGGTTTGTGTGTACAGTGGAACCTTGTTAGTCTGGACACTTTGGTTTGTGTGTACAGTAGAACCTTGTTAGTCTGGACACTTTGGTTTATGTGTACAGTAGAACCTTGCTAGTCTGGAGACTTTGGTTTGTGTGTATAGTAGAACCTTGTTTGTCTGGACACTTTGGTTTGTTTGTACAGTGGAACCTTGTTAGTCCGGACACTTCGGTTTGAATCTTGTTAGTCTGGACACTTCTGTTTGTGTGTATAGTAGAACCTAGTCTGGACACTTCTGTTTGTATGTATAGTAGAATCTAGTCTGGACACTTCTGTGTGTGTATAGTAGAACCTAGTCTGGACACTTCTGTTTGTGTGTATAGTAAAATCTAGTCTGGACACTTCTGTGTGTGTATAGTAGAACCTAGTCTGGACATTTCTGTTTGTTTGTATAGTAGAACCTAGTCTGGACACTTCTGTTTGTGTGTATAGTAGAACCGAGTCTGGACACTTCTGTTTGTGTGCATAGTAGAACCTAGTCTGGACACTGCTGTTTGTGTGTATAGTAGAACCGAGTCTGGACACTTCTGTTTGTGTGGATAGTAGAACCTAGTCTGGACACTTATGTTTGTGTGTATAGTAAAATCTAGCCTGGACACTTCTGTGTGTGTATAGTAGAACCTAGTCTGGTCACTTCTGTTTGTGTGTATAGTAAAATCTAGCCTGGACACTTCTGTGTGTGTATAGTGGAACCTAGTCTGGACATTTCTGTTACTTTGTATAGTAGAACCTAGTCTGGACCCTTATGTTTGTGTGTATAGTAGAACCTAGTCTGGACACTTCTGTTTGTGTATATAGTAGAACCTAGTCTGGACATTTCTGTTTGTGTGTATAGTAGAACCTAGTCTGGACACTTCTGTTTGTGTGTATAGTAGAATCTAGTCTGGACACTTCTGTTTGTGTGTATAGTATAATCTAGTCTGGACACTTCTGTTTGTGTGTATAGTAGAACCTAGTCTGGACATTTCTGTTTGTGTGTATAGTAGAACCTAGTCATGACACTTCTGTGTGTGTGTATAGTAGAACCTAGTCTGGACACTTCTTTTTGTGTGTATAGTAGAATCTAGTCTGGACACTTCTGTTTGTGTGTATAGTAGAATCTAGTCTGGACACTTCTGTTTGTGTATATAGTAGAATCTAGTCTGGACACTTCTGTTTGTGTGTATAGTAGAACCTAGTCTGGACACTTCTGTGTGTGTGTGTATAGTAGAACCTAGTCTTGACACTTCTGTTTCTGTGTATAGTAGAACCTAGTCTGGACACTTCTGTTTCTGTGGTTAGTTCATAATGAGTTAGTTATTAAATAAACAGATTAAAAACAATAAACCCACACACAAATGTTTATTTTGTTTTTAATGATTTCAGTTTTGTTCGTCAAACGTATAATCACGGTAAATCATTATTATTTACATCGTATGTGGGAGTAAAACAAATTAAATTTATCCAGACCATCCTGGAACAGTGCACGTGGTCCCTAGTTTGCGTCACGCTAATTAAAACAATGTCCCGAGTTACAAATACATCCCGGATGTAACATGACTTGTGTACCAGACAGAACGTTGCCTAGAGTTAAAATGATGTTTTATCAATCAAACCTGTTACATTGGAAATATAAATAACTCACGTCAATAACCGAGGCGTCGTTTAAAGTAGATAGTAGTTCGTTAGTGTTTAAAATTTTAATAATCGAATATCACTATAAAATAGAAATTGTAGTCTGTCACCGACAAATGTAGCATTAAAATAAACAAAACACCCGGGTAGCGTTATGAATATTCAGTAGACGAATGTATAATATATAAAACATGAGGGTTTGGCTAGTCCGTCCGGCTCCCTTACTTATTGTCTCTCCGTCTCGCCAGCCCTATCATCTGGCCACATCTAATTGATCAAGGCTAAGGCCTAACGATCTATACAACCAAAACTAGTTAGTTTACCGGGCGAAAATTAAAAAAGATAAATTTGTCAGACCTTTTTCCTTGTCTGTTTATAACTTGTCTACAGATGTCGGAAGAATTTAAATTCAGATTAATACACGATGTCCAGAAATAATGAAAATGTATTTTTTATAATTCGTCTGTTTGTGAAAAGAATATAAATATTTATTTCTGAAGCTACTCACGCTTCGAACAACGAGACTCCAGTTCAAGTATCGACTACTCTTGGATGGGACCGCTCGCTTTGTTCTCGGGTCGTAACTGTAGCGAAGCAGCGCCATGTTGGCGGGGCGGGGCTTAGCGTTCGTCTCGTGCGGACAATGGATGTCATTAGTGGCGCGTGCTCCTAATTGGTTGTCAATTACCATGGGGCATCTGGGGAGAAATATACAGGTGCGAATATTGTATAAAGTTATAATTAGGAGAGATGACTGGACACAGTATTATCTTCTATCGCCCTATTGCGCTCTACCAGACAAAAAATAATGAGAATAGGAGACATGTGCTCATATGTCTCGGGAAATTGTGACGATGGAAGTTAGAAAGGATAGAAATCGAGACACGTGTCCCTAAATATCTCGCACCTACACAATACATATTCAATATTTCATTAATTAAGGTGATTTTCTTGTAAACACGTCGTCTTTTCCCAAGGAGAACGGTTCACTAATATCGCCGTTACTTATACATTTGTATATTAGCTATAGAAGTCAGTGGGTAAAAATCTCAAGTTAGCCGTGGACAAGATATTAGCATACAATAAAAGGTGACATGATCGCGTACACTGAAATACGATGGCATTTATGGGATTTTTTTTATTAGATTAACTATTTTAGAGACAAAAAAATATATACACTTCAAATTAGCCTGGGAATAATCAATTTGAGTTCATTTCACAAGCAAGTCCCGGACAGACAAGTTACAAAAAGTCGTGCGTTACATTTCATACAGTTTAATTCAAGCAGGGTATATCTATTTACTTTCCAATATACATATCTACGTCCGTTTCGTCGGGTATTGGTCATGCATGGACTTCGACGGAATTTAATCGATATTTCCTTTCAATTTGTCTGAAAAGGTTTTCAATTCATTCAAAGGAAAATGTTAAAAAAAAACCTTTCTTAATGGGGATGTCGTGTTTATTAAGGAGGAATCGATACCAATCTGAAGGCAAAGAAAACGAAATTTCTACAAGAAAAAGAATACCCGTTGTATTGGTCACAGTAATGAAGAACTTCTTATCTTAATTGAATCCGGAACATGTTGACACTTTGATAAAATCAATTAAAGAATGAAAACAGATTTAAAATTCTCTTAATTGAAATGTAGATTTTTTTCAAAAACATTAAATATCTTTAAATTGAAATAACTTTACTCAAGCAATTCTGCCTACAGGTAAAACTGTCCTACCTGTTTGTGTGTTGTTTAATTTATTTATCTATATATTCCCAATAAATTTTTAAAAAGGGCAGACACTTGGCGACTTAATGCCGTTAAAATAGCAAGATAAAATACTGAATTAAAAGTACTTATATATTTATTAGTATGTTTAACATTCGCACACGTCATCCGGAATAGACGGTTTTCTCGTTACATAGAACTTAATAACAAACGACCTTTCATGTAGCTATAATTGTGAAGACTGTTCCTGTTTGTGAAGTCAAGAGATCCTCCCCGATATTTCAGTGGTTTGAAATAATACAAGGCTCGGCCTGGCTGAGATACATACAACGTACACACCGCTCGCTACATACCTCCGGTAGTTTAACATAGACCAAGCCCGCGCCAAAAAGTCTAGACCTACCACGTGGGAGCAATCAACCAATCAAACAACGAGATATCAGAATACTAGCGAGGTCGCAGCAATTTCAGGTACCATGTATTCATCGCTGTTATATTTACCGAGGTGCTTGTGAAATATATTCAAAACATCCTCGAATAAACATATATTAATGGATATTTATCATAAAGTCACAAAAGAGTGCCTTATCGAGCACCATATGCCGAAATTCGGTCCATGTCTCGTGCCTCGGTTCTAAAAAATCCTACGAACACTAATGAACAACTCAGGTAAATAAATGACCTTCGGCCCCGATTTGAGAATAGACTCGCCCAGGTCAGACAATTGGCGAGCGATCCTGTGTGAGGACGGCCTATACCGAGCAGAGAAATCCCGTATTTTGGATATTATATTGAGCTTTAAGAAGTATGAACGCTGTGAGAATTTTGGATATTATCGAGAAGACTTGTGAACCGAAAAGAGGATTTAGAAAAGTGTGTTAGCCGCTTGTTTCACAGAGTTTGGAGATAGCGACAGACTGTCTCCTCTCGTCTATCGTTAAGTGGGGGAAAACAGCGGAGCGTTGTTTTTAGGTATATTCAGTGTGTTTATGGGTCTAGCATCATTCTACTGGATTCCACGAGTGTAGTTCATACATACTAAATGTTACAAGGAGATGTATGTGTGTGAAATCGACAGCTCGGGAGTAACGACGAACGTAGCACATTGAAGAGAAATATATATATCCCTGACCTTACGGGTCAGAGTATTGTGTACGTGTGTACATCCGACATTCCTGAGGCTCGTGTTGTGATGATCTCGAGATTCGGAGCAAGGCACGTCGAGCGAGCAAGATTTCACTGGTTTATTTACAATATGTAACGAACATTGTATCGAATATATAAACATACGCAAAACAAATGTGTATTACGTTTATATTTTGTTGATAAAAAACATCCGGCGTTGTTTTGAAAACAATATTACGGCGTTAAATAGTATTATTTCAGACTATGTAACATTTTGAGTTGTATTGCATTGTTGTCAGTTATTAAGTAATACTTTGTTCGTATTTACTAGCAACTTACTATATTATTTATCTAAGTTTATGTTGAGTAGACTATTTGCAATATCTCAATGTCCAGAGCGATTCATGATTTATGTTCCGATCTAAACGGTCTGCACTCGTGAAACGTCTTTGGAAAAACAGATTACATAATGAAACCTCGGGTGAGAATGAAACCTGTTTACCAACTAGCCCTGACGGGGATACAGAAACCAAGTGTGTAGCACAGAGCATGTTAAAAAGACTCAAAGAAAAACAATTGGAGATGCTGTGCGAGAGTATTGAAACGAAGGGTGGCGAGACGACGGGGTGTGTCCTCCTACCCAACAGTGACCTCCGGTTGGGGAAGAGGTCGGTGGCTCCCCACATACTGTGTTGTCAGTTGTGGAGATGGAGTGATATTACACCAAATACTGAACTTAAAAGACTGCCTCACTGTGAGTCTGCGGATGACCCGGCTTACTTATGCTGTAACCCCTATCACTGGAGTATACAGCAAAAAACAGGTAATTGTGATCGTTTCTAATATATTTGAAACTATTTATACAGTAAAAAACAGGTAACTTTAATCAGTGCTAATATATTTTAAATTATTTATGCTGTAACTGCTTCCATTACAGCAAAAAACGGGTAATTGTCATCGTTACTAATATATTTCAAATTGTTTTTGCTGTAATTCTTACCATTGGAGGATACAGCAAAAACAGGTAATTGCGATCAATACTCATCATATAATCAAAAATTAATCTACGTTTTCTGCATATCGTTCGTTCTTTATAGCATATAGCATATAGCCAGGATTTTGATATATTAAAGTCTTGTAGTGATGTAAGTATGTGGGGTTTATTGAGTGTTTGATCTGTCCAGTGTAAAATTGATACAATAATACTGTGATGGATTGACTGGCCTGTGGACAACATCATGTCAAAATATTTACTCTCACGGGAAAATATTCACACACAAGACCAAAAATTTACTTGCAAACCGCTAATTCAAGATATTTTAGTCTGTTACGATGAAATGAAATCTAGTGACCGATCCCGACACTGATGAACGGGTGAGGGGCTGTCCAGTTTTCTGGGGAGTTTTTTCCAGTTAGGGAAAATACGAAGGGAATTCCAAGGGTGGGGTCTTCCTGATTCCCAGAAAACCCTCGTAGATTGCCACTGGAGTATATAAAATATGATAAATTACTGCAATAACAATCCTACTTCATCAACTGCACATAATTATGCTAAATATTAACGCAGGAGATTGCTGATCTCATGACTATTTCTAGATACATATGTACTACGATGGAAATCGTTCATCTGAAATTATCGGTACAATGTTACCAATGTCATAATATTTGCAAATTTTTATATCAAAATTTGCATGAGCTCATTTACTGGAAAATAATTCAGAAATATTTTGAAAAAATAAGACATCCCTACAGGTGAAATATAATTCTGTGGCTTGAAACCATATGTCATCTTCCTCTAAATGTAAAAAGAATAATTGGTATGACTATAGTGTATATATAGTATACACATCTTATTTTCAGTGAAAGATTTATTACGTACACTCTGAGTGCACAATAACTTATTATCATTTCATAAAAAAGCTGTTTTAAATATTAATTTATATGTTTTATTGCATACACTCTGAGTGCATGTGTAACTTAGCATCACTTCATAAAAAAATATTTTTAAATATTAATTGATATGCTGTATTAATATAACCTGTCTCAGTCAAGTTAAATATGATGTTATTTTCTGGATTAAATTTTCAAACCTATGAATATTTTTTATTCATAAACAACAGAGAATATGATGTTTTTAAAAAACAAACTTTAATCTGTCAATTTTAAAGGTGGCAAAGATGTGTTGTTTGAACACAAAACCGGTGTTTATAATACAGAGATTGTGGTTATGTATAAAATACACCTGTTTGGGTAACAAACGTACGCTATGGTGTGTAGGGACATAACCCTTGGTGTGTGCTTCACTCAATGTGAGTTTACAGCATATGTAGTGGAGTGTTATATACCCCGTAAATATGTGATGTATTTACCTCAACACCCAGCGTCCAATAATCGCCCCTCCCTACGTAGTGGAGTGTTATATACCCCGTAAATATGTGATGTATTTACCTCAACACCCAGCATCCAATAATCACCCCTCCCTACGTGTTATTTTTTATTTTTATTTTTAATTATTTTTGATATTGACTAAAATTGTTGAAAATGGCCCATTGCTTTCAGCTCCCTACAACTGCCATTGAATCCTTGTAGCTACACATCTACTTAAAACCCCCCATTTCCATAGTTACGAAGAAATGGCCATATTTACAATCCCTCTACAGAGAGACACATTTCTGTGTCCACCATGCATTTGCTCAAACAACCTGATGACCGCTGCAGAAATATTTCAAAATAATGGACAAGGGGCTACTCCTTCACCCCTGAAGACACATTTTGAACTCTCCCAATTCAAAGGTTAGAATAGTTTATTATGAAATTTCAGGGGTGAATGAGTTAAGATATAGTTACAAACGCAGTCACTGAAAAAAGGGTCTGTGACCGGATCCTCCTGCAAATCTTAACCACAGATTGCCTAGCCCCTTCTATTCAGAGAAAAAGCATTGTCATAACCCTAACTCCTCAAAAAAGGGGCAGTAGCAATGAGGCGGTTTCTGAGAGCTTGAGCCCCTGGTTTTGGCTTTGATAGCTTGACCCCCTGATTTTCCCAGCTATCTGTATTGTACATACATTGATTGCAGTCCGAAGTCTGTGGTAATTATAGACAATTACCAGGACAGGATGGGCCGTCTCTACTACACCACACAATATATACTGGATCACAGGATCTTGTATACATAGTATAGACAGGGCCGGCTCTACTACACCACACAATATATACTGGATCACAGGATCTTGTATACATAGTATAGACGGGGCCGGCTCTACTACACCACACAATATATACTGGATCACAGGATTTGTATACATCATAGTTTCCAACGAAGTTAAGATTCAAGGGGATACTCAATTTATTTGATAGATTTTTAAGATTGTGTAACGCCATGCCCTTAAAAAATCTTGAAACTGGGGTAAAAATCTTCTCATTTTGGAGTCTTGGAATGCTGACTATATATATATATATATATACAAAGGATGTGGTACTTATACCATTGAAACAACTGGGATACTACTGATCATGATCGGGCATGGAAAATACATGTAGGNGGGGGGGGTACCAAGGGTAACATACCAGGGAATACATGTATAAATAGATCAACACTTGGGGAATTTATTGATGCTGGAATAATAGAACACACGCAGTGTAAACCGATCAGGGAACGTTTTTGTTGGGGTTGGGTTTAAATGCTATATTTACCCTAAAACTATAACAGTATAAAAGACCTATCTAGTGCTACAGGCTAGGGTGTACGTTTGACTTGAGGATGTATGGAGACGTGGAGACTGTAAACTTACTGTGTGGGTAGTGGCGTTTGCCTCGCTGTGCACGTACATGCACCATTTACTGTAGGGTGTTGTAGGAGCCTGTTGATTAGGAGTAGTGTGTACATCATGGGTGCAGGTATAGGATCGGGCGAGGAGGAGGAGGAGGCCCAGACTAGGCCAAAAACAAATTGTTTCCTATATCCAGATCATCCTTAATCATCCCAAATTTGAAAAAATAAAACTTTGGAAAGGCCCTGACATAGATTGTCTAATATATGTACATCCTCGATATGAAGACTAGTGTAGCGTAGCAGAGATTAGCTGAGTATATATTTATCAGCAGTGCTGGGCAGAATTTTTATTTGATTTTGTCGGTGTAGTTTTGGTGAATCTTTTTCGGTGATTTTCGTTAACATACAAGCTCTGGCTAATTGGAAGTGGTAAATCTGTTGATAATCCTGTGACCTTCACTCCTCACCAAATGCAATCTCGGTGATAATCCAGGGAATTCGTCACGCTAGGCAGATATCTACCAGTTTACAGCTACTAGTGGTAAAAACGTTGAAATATAGCAATTGGTTTTTTTGTTGCATTTCCTGTATTTTTTAAATATCACAGCAATTTGTTTGCTTTTATCGTTAATGGTTTTATGTGAATATGTGAAGAAACAGGTAGAAACTGTATCGCCATGACAATGACATTACACCTGCACAGGTGTGTAAAATACCTGTAACCAATCACACAGAAAATCTCATCAATCTGAGAAAAGGATTGCTTGATTTTTTAAAGACTTTTTATGTGTTGTACTTTTAAGTTGAATCATATAAGGTCAAAGTCATACTTTCTGATGTTTCAGAACGGGGCTTTTGTTTGAGACTGAATTTGGTCCAATGACAAGTGGAATTTCTCAATTTGAACCAAAAAAAAACAGCCTGTATTCTAATGTCGATGCAACATCTAATGTCAAAAATGAAATAATCTCAAAAAAACTTTTTTTGTAAATAACTGCACATTTTTATGAGCTGTGATCTGTACAGATTAGTGTTATGTATGTGGGTTGTTGAGGATGTTACGTAGCTGTGACCTGTACAGATTAGTGTTATGTATGTGGGGTGCTGAGGATGTTACATAGCTATGACCTGAACAGGTTAGTGTTATGTATGTGGGTTGATGAGGATGTTAGGTAGCTGGGACCTGTACAGGTTAGTGTTATGAATGTGGGTTGTTGAGGATGTTACGTAGATGTGACCTGTACAGATTAGCGTTATGTATGTGGGGTGTTAAGGATGTTACATAGCTATGACCGGTACAGGTTAGTGTTATGTATGGGGGGTGTTGAGGATGTTACGTCGCTGTGACCTGTACAGATTAGTTATATGTATATGGGGTGTTGAGGATGTTACTTAGCTGTGACCTGTACAGGTTAGTGTTATGTAAGTGGGGTGTTGAGGATGTTCCATAGCTATGACCTGTACAGGCTAGTGTTATGTATGTGGGTTGATGAGGATGTTAGGTAGCTGTGACCTGTACAGATTTGTGTTATGTATGTGGGGTGTTAAGGATGTTACATAGCTATGACCTGAACAGGTTAGTGTTATGTATGTGGGTTGTTTAGGGGGTTAGGTAGCTGGGACCGGTACAGATTAGTGTTATGTCTGTGGGTTGTTGAGGATGTTAGGTAGCTGTTACCTGTACAGATTAGTGTTCTGTATGTGGGGTGTTGAGGATGTTCCATAGCTATGACCTGTACAGGCTAGTGTTATGTATGTGGGTTGTTTAGGGGGTTAGGTAGCTGGGACCGGTACAGATTAGTGTTATGTATTTGGGGTGTTGAGGATGTTACAGAGCTGTGACCTGTACAGATTCGTGTTATGTATGTGGGGGGTTGAGGATGTTACATAGCTGTGACCTCTACAGATTAGTGTTATGTATTTGGGGTGTTGAGGATGTTACTTAGTTGTGACCTGTACAGATTAGCGTTATGTATGTGGGGTGTTAAGGATGTTACATAGCTATGACCTGAACAGGTTAGTGTTATGTATGTGGGGGGTTGAGGATGTTACATAGCTGTGACCTGTCCAGATTAGTGTTATGTATGTGGGGCGTTGAGGATGTTACATAGCTTTGACCTGTACAGATTAGTGGTATGTATGTGGGGTGTTGATGATGTTACATAGCTATGACCTGGACAGGTTAGTGTTATGTATGTGGGTTGTTGGGGATGTTACATAGCTGTGACCTGTCCAGATTAGTGTTATGTATGTGGGGTGTTGAGGATGTTACATAGCTATGACCTGTACAGGTTAGTGTTATGTATGTGGGTTGTTGAGGATGTTAGGTAGCTGTGACCTGTACAGATTAGTGTTATGTATGTGGGGTGTTGAGGATGTTACGTAGCTGTGACCTGTACAGATTAGTGTTATGTATGTGGGTGTTGAGGATGTTACGTAGCTGTGACCTGTACAGGTTAGTGGTATGTATGTGGGGTGTTGAGGATGTTACATAGCTGTGACAGATACCTGTACAGATTACGTATGTGTGGTGTTTAGGATATGCATTTACCTATCTGTTACGTACTCTGCCTGCAGGCGCTAGCCGACCCCACTCACTGACAGGTGCCCTTATAACGAGGCACAGACGTGACAAAATGCAGATATTTTTCTTGGGAGACTTTTTTTCTCCACCACAAAAACACTTAGGGCAGCTTCAATCAAGGTCTGATCCATTCATAACATGGGCTGTATAGCCTGTTGTGGTTTGTGTGTTTATAGTAGTGGGGAAGTACATGGTAATAGAACTCGATACCCACGTGTAGAGCTCTGACGACCTATATATCGACACACAGTCAACAGGAACTGCAGGCCTGCTGCTGTAAGTGTACTTATCAATGAGAAACGTCAACAAACAAATTGGTTTTAGGAATTCAATTCCTGATGCCATTATATAATAAGTATACAATTCAATTTCCGCATTTATAACTACACAGTAATTGGTGGCAACATGAATGATAACAAGCTAAACCATCCGAATATACAATTTATATGAAGTATATTATACATTACTGATGTAGGACCCCTTCCTCAGTTCTAAGGACTGTTTTATGATTAAAGAAATCATGCAAGTTATCGATGTAATCTCTGGACTTTTAGAAGATGCGTGTATACATATATTTTTTTGTATATTTAAAAATCTAATAAACAACAGTTGATTTCCACAGGCAAAAAAGATACAAAAAAAAATAAAAAAATTGTTACTCTTTAAGTCCCAATATTTTGGCTTCACGACTGTCCTCCGCGGCAATTAAATGTTACGATGAGTTAAAGTTACGTCCGTCTTGTTAATATTGGGACTGAGAGTGACAATTGTTCCATCGTTTGTAGATGTACCGGTAGTTTGTGAAGTGACAGTCTAGATCTCGTGTAATTAGGTTCTTTGGACACGTAGAGTAAGACCTCTACATGCATGTGTACTGCACCAGGTAACATACATCATCTGCGACAGTACTGTGTGTAAAACAAGGAGCTTCAGTCCGTTTTAGATATGCTATATATAACACATTTATACAGTGAAGCATAAATTATACAGATATAGAGGCAGCTCACTAACTCTAGGCAAATATAATATTATTGATACATATATTTATAACTAAGTATCGAAATACACAGTTTGGTGATAAATATATCCATTTTGTTTGACTTAATCTATATAGACAGTTTGGTGATTAAAATAATGATATTATAATAATACATTTGATATAGCGCCCTATATAGCTAGAATAAGCCACTCTAAAGCGTTTTACAGTACATAGATATACATATGTACAATTAATACAATTAGCATATACATTAATCAGTACAATTGATGATGAATTAGCAGGAGCTGCCTTATCAGGTGCTAACTGCTAGTCCTATGCCACCTGTCTAATATCTCTCTATGTGTGTATACCTGCGTGTGTGGTAGACACGTATTGTGTATATCAAAATATTTATTTTACATTTAATTAAATCTGAATAGACATATTGGCTAGGTACAAAGATATTTTACATATTTTGATTTTGTTTAACAAAATAGACAGTTTTGCTACAGGAATTGAACTGTTACGTTGCTTTGTTTCAGATACACCCTATACTAATGGGAATTGGTCGAAGAGCTCCAGATTAAAGATAACAGGTAATTCTCATACAAACTTAAAAGAAATAACTGGTTATCTTCTTTATATATGTCTACCATTGATTGACCTACTTCATCATATTAAAGATTTTGTCATTATGTAGGGTTGTGATAGTGAGTGCATGGCAAAGAAGGATGTGTAGTCCTGTGTATGAAATACTAATGGTTTAGAGAGTGAAGTTTGGTTTTAAAGATGTCAAGAGATTCTGAGGTTACCAGAAGATTCAAAGCCAGTGATTACACTAACATAAAAACCACTCCACAAAGTAATTCACCGATTGAAAATGTACGGCCATGTACTGGATATCTCACATGCTATAATCTAAGCCATGTACTGGATATCTCACATGCTATAATCCAAGCCCTGTACTGGATATCTCACATGCTATAATCGATATCTAAGCCATGTACTGGATATCTAACATGCTATAATCTAAGCCATGTACTGGATATCTCACATGCTATAATCGATATCTAAGCCATGTACTGGATATCTCACATGCTATAATCCAAGCCATGTACTGGATATCTCACATGCTATAATCTAAGCCATGTACTGGATATCTCACATGCTATAATTTAACCTACTTACAGTAAAACCTTGTTATACTGCCACCATTTGGTCACAGAAAACTTGGCGTTATAAAGGGGTTTGGCGATAAATTGAGTGAAATGTCAAAGGAATTCTTAATAAAACATGAAAAATATAATGGGACATTGAAATATGTTGGGCAGTAAAGGAGCTTGAGGTGGCAAATGAAAGAAGAGCATTGTATCAAGGGTTAACTGTATACCCATATCCTGTACATGTCACAGTTGTTGGTATTATAATAGAAATAAGGTAAACAAAATTGTATATGTCCATATAACCTTCTTTGAAATGAAGCTGCCATATTGGAGCTGGAAATTCTTTATTTTTTCAATATAAACAAGGTTATATATAAAAAATTGTTTTAACAATTATTTCAATCTGATATGTTGCTGTCTAAGATCCCGTGGTTTTGATTTTCTGTCGCACAGATTTGTCCATGTATTCTGTCGTGTATCATGTGTGAAAGTGTTGCTAGGTAACACACATCCTAGTCACCTGTGTGTTTAGTAACAGACATCTTAGTCACCTGTGTGTTTATCACAATTAATTTCGTTCATTGTTTTCAGAAATAGACCAAATAGAAGAATCTGTGATGGGTGTTTCAACGGAAACGGGAAACACACCTACCCCACGTCGTCTGGACTTCTCAGGTAGTTAAAGATTTAAAAACATTTGACAGACATACATTGTACATGCACAATATACAGTGGAACCTCATTATCCCAAACATTTATTTCTAGGGAAAAAATTGTGGAATAACACATTTGACAGTTTTATTGAACAGGAATCGCCATTTGATAGGACTCACAGCTGTAGGTTCCATCTGTCAATATGAGATGACATTTCCTATGAAGGTTGTAATACGTTAGTGGACTTGACTTACCAGATTGAGCAATCTATAAGAAAGTTAAACATAAGAGTTTAAACCACAATATTCTGATTTCATCTCAAGTTTTCTAACTTCCATCATGAGAATAATGTATTTCTTAGAATGATATTACTTCAGTATGGCGAAGCCTATCTGGATATTTCTGGACACTTAGTTTTGTGGCGAACCCCTAAGCCCTTTGGGGCAGTACAAATTCCTTACGGGGATCTCTAATGAAAAATATGAACTGTATTTACTTCTTTGTTACCGGTATGTTTAAGTTGATAAATGATCCTTGATATGTGTCAGATTGATTTCTATACAGTAGTATGTAGCTAAACTCCCCCCTCCCCCCGGAATGTTGGGGTCAATAAAATATAAAGGGTATATATACAGCGTGAAGGGAGGCAATGAGATTGACAATGTTTCCACTATCATCCTCAGAGTACACTGTAAGTAGGTTGGAAAATATTTGTCTGTATCTGTACGTCACAGGTCACAAATTTCTGGTGTTGAGTGTGACGGGTGGTGTGGTATCTGGGACTGTTATTCCGAGTGGGAAGTGTCCAGACTTTGGTATCTGGGACTGTTATTCCCAGTGGGAAGTGCCCAGCCTTTGGTATCTGGGACTATTATTCCTAGTGCGAAGTGTCCAGACTTTGGTATCGGGGACTATTAGTCCTAGTGGGAAGTGTCCAGACGTTGGTATCTGGGACTGTTATTCCCAGTGGGAAGTGTGCAGACTTTGGTATCTGGGACTGTTATTCCCAGTGGGAAGTGTCCATCCTTTGGTATCTGGGACTGTTATTCCCAGTGGGAAGTGTCCAGCCTTTGGTATCTGGGACTGTTATTCCCAGTGGGAAGTGTCGAGACTTTGGTATCTGGGACTGTTATTCCGAGTGGGAAGTGTCCAGTCTTTGGTATCTGGGACTGTTATTCCGAGTGGGAAGTGTCCAGTCTTTGGTATCTGGGACTGTTATTCCGAGTGGGAAGTGTCCAGTCTTTGGTATCTGGGACTATTATTCCTAGTGGGGAGTGTCCAGACTTTGGTATCTGGGACTGGTATTCCGAGTGGGAAGTGTCCAGAGTGTGGTATCTGGGACTGTTATTCCCAGTGGGAAGTGTCGAGACTTTGGTATCTGGGACTGTTATTCCGAGTGGGAAGTGTCCAGTCTTTGGTATCTGGGACTGTTATTCCGAGTGGGAAGTGTCCAGTCTTTGGTATCTGGGACTATTATTCCTAGTGGTAAGTGTCCAGACTTTGGTATCTGGGACTGGTATTCCGAGTGGGAAGTGTCCAGACTTTGGTATCTGGGACTGTTATTTCCTAGTGGGAAGTGTCCAGACTTTGGTATCTGGGGATGTTATTCCGAGTGGGAAGTGTCCAGACTTGAATTGTTGGACACTTTCCTGTGCACTTGTTCTTCTCCTAATACTGTAGGTTCCAGTCCTGGATGGTTTTGTAGAAGAACGAATTGTTCTGAATGACCAAGTACGTCTACCTTCAATGACCTAGAGTTTGTAGTACATAATTTTGTCTGCCACGTTTTTGTGCTCGTAACCTTCTAATTTTCTAGGCTGAATTATCCTTTTTGGTTTGTGTGGAGTTAGGTAAAAAAAAAATGCAAGGCTGGTATTTTTACTATATGCTTGTTTATATGGAGCAGGAGTTCTGACTTTAACAGTGCATATCGCTAAATGCCAATAACAACTTTAGGGTACGCACAAAAATCGAAGGTAAAAGTAGGGTTTAGTGAAAACATAAGATTTGTTTTATTTGGCCTAAGGGGGACACAAGCTTCAATGGAGCTGGTAACAGACTAAACCGATTCTGTCCCCTTCTACTTATTGCGTGGGTGAGCTTAGGGATGTGAAATCAAATAAATACCTTATTTAATTCATATTTAAAATAACAACAAGCGTGAGTCAAAACCATCAGAATCTTGTACAGCAAAGTTAGGGACAAATAAAAGCCGGGCCCTAACACCAATAGACAACCATACTTTATAAGTGTCCGTGTTTAATACCTCGTGCCAGCACATTTAAAGCTCAGTCAACTTATATCATCAACGGTTAAATCAAATTTTAAAATGGAAATTTATTTGTTTTAATTCTTTAAATTCTAAATTTAATGATTTCAGATGATAATCTTTGATCGCAGATATTTACAATTATCATTTTATGTATCTTGAACTTCTTTTCCCCAAAATATGTCAAAGATAAAAATTTGTGTTTACTTTGTGTGAAGCTAACAAGTCTTTGTGTCTGTGTGAGCAGGTAGACTGTATATATGTGTACAATTGCCCTCCACAGCGCCTGGCTAGGGACCTCGTTAAAGGTAGTGGAAACTCGCTATACAGGACCCTAGTGTTAGCTACCACTATCAGCCCTACTGGACACGTGTTCCAAGTCTGGTCAACTTACAGCTCCACAAACGTTAAACAGTGTATATATGTGAATTAAAAACTATATATATTTTAAAGACATTAGATGTTCATTTTAAGACTAAAAATACAGAAATATTTTTTCGTAAATTTTTTCAAATATTCACTCAAATCATAATTTGGATAATTGGAGTTTTACTGCGTGGTTAAGCTTACCGAGCTATGAACCGGCTGGGTTTGATAGCCAGTGTTATCAGCCGGCTGATCTAGGTACACAGTACTGGAGTCGCTGGGCCTAGTAAGACCGCTATACTGGCGACAGGGCCTGTGTTAGTTAACTTAAAACGTCTAGGGCTTACTCAGGTACGGTAAACATCCACCGAGTCGTCGTCAGATAGATGACGCACACACGTCAAAATTATCTACATTACTCATAATTTGTTGATCGGATTCTGTTCATTAGGGGGTGCACACGTAAAATGATAATTTACGTGTAGAAATGTTTGAAATTATTATGGTTTTAGAAATTTATGAAGTTATGGGGACGTATGAAAACTTAATTACTATTGGTGCATTTTATTTCATCGTGGTGTAGAACTCAAGTAAGACATTAGTTTATATGGAATTTTGAAAATATTTTCAATTATTTTAAGCTCTGCTGAATTACACAGACTTAAAACAAAGATGTAAATACTTTCACTTTAATTAGCTTAACTTTAACTGATTCACCCCTGAAATTTCATAATGAACTATTCCAACCTTTGAAATGGAAGTTTTCAAATGTGTCTTCAGGGTCGAATGAGTTAATTTTAGGTAGAGCTTGTGAAATTTTGCATGCGTTTTAATTTTCTTCCGCATGGGAAGAAAGAGATAAATGAAAATCAGAAAATATGATAGATCAGTTGTATATTTTTACTCAAGTATTAAAGTTCTTGACTCGTGCTTTTCCTATAGAACTCACTTTCAGTCCTCGCCTGAAAAAAATCTACAAAAATCTTTGCCTTAGCAGATCAGAAACATTTACTTACAAACTTTAGTTTGGGTATGATACGTAAATATTAAAAAGAAATCAGTGTTAAATAAGGCTAAATCCCAAAGTTGAAAGCTACAGGCTTTGTAGAACTGGTATGCCTCTCTTAGTTTTGGTATACAGAGGAGTCTCCTATTATCCACTGATAAAGATAGAACGCTCAGTGTTCAGTAATGTTTTTGATTTTCAAATATTTGGCACGTTTACAGTAGACACAGTCTGCCAGACGTATTTTCTAGGGTGCAATTACATCGTCAGATAATTAGTCATAAAGGTCTAGAAAGACAGTTAAAGAAACGACTATTATCACTGGTACGTAAGGGCTTACGGTGTCGCCGTACTTCGCCGACCGACGACAGGAAACAAAAACAAGAAAGAAATTACGTTTTAAAAATTAAAAAAAACTGTCTGCAGTATAGACAGTCGAAGGAACTTGTCATAAAATGATTGAATAACAAAGCATAAATATTTCAACATAACATCAACTGGAAAATGATAAAGGAAGTTCGTTTTAAAAAGTAGATTGTTCAGTTTGTGTTATTGGTACACGAATGTGTCATAAAATGTTGGGAGTAGACAAAAAAAAAAAATTAACCGGAAAACGAGTAAGGAAATACATTTTGAAAAAGTTTGATTCAGTACAGGTGTTTTTTTATGTGAACCTTCCCTAAAACTAAAACTAAAAAAAAATAAAAAATACTGGAAGGAATAAACGAAAGAGGAAGAATTGTCTGCGCAACAGACGTCTATACCTGTCATGTAGAAAAAACACTGACAAAAAAATATTTAAGATGTTTCAAAAGCACCACAAACAAGATATAAAGATATAGACAGGAAGATGATTTAAAAAATGACCATATAGGGAAAATGATATTAGATTGTTGAAAAAATATCTACTGGATTAACTTATATCTGAAATAAAAATGTGGTGATATGCAGTGGTGGAGCAATCGTAATGTTTAGTTTGTTAGAAGTGGTGATGTCCTGTTCAGATAGCTGTAGACAGAAATCTGTCATAAATCTTCACCAACGTCAGACAGGATATACAAAATGAACATTTCATATTAACGACAAAGCATGAAACAAAAAAACCTTCTAATTAAAAACTGTAATTGTAATATAGAACAGTAAGATAAACCCTTTCACCACTGTGGACCAGGGTGGACTCATCCAGATAAATGTATGGTAGAGTCTACTAAAGTAATCTAGGGTTGAAAGGGTTAAAAACAATGATTTATATAATATAATTAAAAACTCAGAATATGTTAGTATTTCTATGTTCCTGTTAAAAGAAAAGATAAGTGAGTGTTTGTCGACAAATATATATTGTTTTTAATAATCTTTTTACGTCTGTAATTGATGGAATAG